TAATTAAAATAAAATAAAATAAAATCGGGAAAGGCTCTCCTATAAGAGTGTGTTTTAAGAAGGGACTTAAAAGAGTTCACTGACTCAGCCGACCTGATTTCCTCGGGCAGGCTGTTCCAGAGCCTCGGGGCCCTGACAGCAAACGCTCTGTCCCCTTTAGTTTTCAGTCGAGACTCTGGAACAGACAACAGACCTCTGCCCGAGGATCTCAAGGTACGTGCTGGTGTGTATGGGACTAAAAGGTCAGAAATATAACAAGGCGAGAGGCCATGAAGAGCTTTAAAAGTGATCAATAGAATTTTAAAGTCAATTCTAAAACATACCGGGAGCCAGTGTAATGAAGCTAAAATAGGGGTGATGTGGTCATTTCTTTGTTCTGGTTAAAAGCCTGGCAGCTGAGTTCTGGACAGTCTGGAGTCAATCAATAGATTTTTGGGTTAAACAGGTGAAAAGGCTGTTGCAATAATCCAGGCGTGATGAGACGAAGGCGTGTAAAATGATCTCGGTGTCCTTAAAAGTTAACATAGATTGAATTTTTGCTATATTTCTAAGTTGATAAAAACATGATTGAACAAGCTTTGTGGTGTGCTGCTCGAAATTTAAATTACTATCAAACCAAACACCAAGGTTCTTTGCCACAGGCTTAATGTGATTTACTAGGGAACCAGCAGATGGCAGTATTTGCTTTGCCATCTGCTGGGACCCAATTACTAGGATCTCAGTTTTTTCTGAGTTCAGCTGGAGGAAATTATTTGACATCCAATTTTTGACTTCACATAGGCAGTTGTTAAGTGAACTCAGCATTCCAGGATCTGTGGATCTGACCGGCAAATACATCTGTGTGTCAGTGTAAATATGAAAAGAGACACCATGTCTCTGAATAATGTCCAAGGGGAAGCAGATACAAGGAAAATAAAATGGGTCCTAAGACCGACCCCTGAGGCACACCATATTTAACTGGACAGAATGAGGAGACATAGTTGTTTACAGACACGCAAAACTTCCTATTTGACAGGTAGGATGAAAACCATTCTAGGGCAGTACCAGAGATCCCCACCCAGTGCCTCAGTCTGTCTAACATGATGTTGTGATCAATGGTGTCAAAAGCAGCGCTAAAGGTCCAGGAGTACCAGGACTGAGCACATGCCTTCATCAGCAGACATTAAAAAGTCATTGGTGACTTTAAGCAGGGCAGTCTCAGTGCTGTGGTACTTCCTGAAACCAGATTGAAACTTGAAATATTTTGTTATTTTCCAGTAGTGAGCAGCTATTTGGACACAATTCTTTCTAAAATGTTTGCTATAAAAGGCAGTTTTGAAATGGGTCTAAAATTTTGATGGAGGGAGGGATCTAAACCAGTTTTTTTTTTTAAGTGGGTTCACGCAAGCAGTTTTAAAATAATCAGAGTCCAACAGAATCCATTACTTTCAGTAAAAACTTTGTAGGTATTACATCAAGTGGGCTGGAGGACATTCTCATTTGTGATACTGTTTTTAAAAGCTCAGACAAGTCGATGGGATAAAACTGTAGAAATGAGTTCAGAAAAATAGTGTGTTCTCGCATCCTTAACCATGTTATTGTAGTTAATTAATAAATCCTTCAGAATGAGGTAATGGACATGGAGACTGTTTTTTTTTTTTTTCCCATCTGCGCTCTGCTTTCCTGCATTCCCTTTTTTGGCTGCGAATGCTGTTTTTTATCCAGGGTTGCTTACGAGCTGTAGGTTTAGGTTTAGCCTTTAGAGGAGCAATAGTATTTAGGGATGACAAGCAAATTTGATTGAAGTGATCAGTCAAGTCGTTGTTCTTGGAATCAGTCAGGTGTTGGCTTTGGCTCTGAAACAATGTGCAAAACTTTGAAACGCTTTGTTCATTAAGGATGCGAGAACAGGAAGTGCTTGGTGAGGCAGATTGAGTAACTAGTGATTCACAGTTAAAAACTACATTTGTGGTCATATATGGTCATGTCCACTAATTCCACAGAGGAAATGCTAACACCCAGGGTAAAAACCAAGTCCAGTGTATGACCACGGTGTTGTTTAAAGTTAAGTTAAGTAGTTGTGGTTATATTTAAAAAGTCAGTTGCATAATCATTTGTGAGGTCATCAACGTGAATATTAAAATCGCCACAGAGAACAATTTTTCTTTTAATTTAAAACCAGAGTAGATAAATATTCTGGAAGTTCTGCTAAAAATCCTCCAGGTGGATTTGGGGGGCGATAAAATATGACAAAGGGTTAGGGTTAGGCTCACTATCCCACCACCACGTCCACTGACCCTGGGTTGACTAAAACAAACATAGAGGCGGACACATTTCAGCTAGCTGGGTATGATCATTAGTTCGTAACCAGGATTCAGTTAAAACATAAAATCTAGATTTGCAGACAACATAAAATCATTTAAGATAAAAGTCTTGCTTGAAAGTGATCTCACATTGAAGAGAGACATTTTAAATGTGTTTGTTCTAGGTGCTGGAGTTGGTGCAGTTGCCCTAATCCTTAAGAGATACAGGTACAGGATTAGCTTTAATGGATTTTATTTTTCAAGACAAGTAGATTAAAATTGCTCTCTGTAGTCAGACTTTCTCGTTCTCCTTTGCTGCAATGAAAACTTCCCTTTTTAAGACTCAAACCCTTTAAAGTTGACAGTGGAAACACACTGACAGATTAACCACCTGCTTGATATGTGCTCACTTCCTGGTTCAAAAGTACATTTTCATGTGTGTAGCTTTGTTTAATGTGACCAAAAGCATGTCAGACAACCTCCAGAGGCAGTGATCACATTTTCAGTGCACTTACGATTTGATGTGTTGATTTGAATATCCAGTTATCTCAACTGCATAAATAAAAAAGACACATAAATGCCAGGTGGATGTGAAATGAGGTGACAGGGGGTTTTCTATAGTCAACCTTTGATCTTGCATGAATCCTTGGTGCATGCTGCGCAGTAAAAAAGACTGACACAGGGGGTTTTACCCAAACTGTGCTGTTGCCAGTAAACCTCTACTTACTTGCACTTTGGCCCGGCCTTCTCCCCCACCTGCAAGTAGGCTTCATAGCTGATCATGGCCTCCTCTCCACTCACTGGAGGCACCTGGTGCTTATCGAGCAGGAACCACAGATTCTACAGAAGACAAAGAGAAAGAGAAAAAAGACAACTAGGTAAACGGACACTAAATAACAAACCTAAAGTGTTGTTGTTATTCACACAGACAGAAGTCCCATATGTTGTGCGCAGTTACTTTTAGGTGTGTGTGTGTGTTTTACCTGTAGTTCCTCATTATCCAGCAGTTCTCTGCTCTTCCTCTGGAGGAAGACAGCTCTGGATTCCTCTCTCAGCTTCTGAAGTAATACTTCATCTTCTGCTGGTAGCTGCAAAACATCATCATCATCGGATTTATTTTCACTTCTGCACAGCTTCATCATTAAACAGCAAGCATGCCTAGTACTCTGGCAACTACACATCAGTGATAACATGATCAGCATCATAATCATAATCGCCGGGTGGAGATGGACGAGTGGATAAAACACACATGCCTTTGGTGTCAAAGACACGCGTTCAATTCCCACTGTGACACATCCACCATTGTGTCCATGAGAAAGACACTTTTCCCCAAGTTGCCCCAGACACGTGCGACCTCTGACATTTATAGCAATTGTAAATCACTTTGGATAAAGGCGTCAGCTAGATGAGTAAATATAAGAGCATCATCAATGTTAAAATCCCCCTCAAACAGCGGAGTTGTAAAACAGGCCTTATCAGACATCTTGCAGAATAAAAGGAATAAATATATTATTAATGAAATTGAGGGCGTCCTGCTGTACAATAACTTGTCCAAATTAATCTTGTAGATTTATTATATGAAGGCAATAATCAATATGACTGTACATTTTGGTCCTTGAAATGTAATGTTTTTCTTCAAAAGGACATGGTGTTGGGGGTTTGTTGATGGCACAGAGTTTAGTCAAAATGACAACAATGGAAGACTTTTGAGTTTTCAGGGGGGTTTACATATAATGTCATGTGTTTTAATAATACCCTGTAGTAAAATCGTGGGATGTTCTTATAGGACTTGTCTTTGTCGCCTCCTCCCTTCCACTCTGTGTAGTATTTGGTGAACAGCTCAGTTTCTTCTGCTTTCATTTCCTCGTCGCTTCGCTCATCTGTACAGCAAAAGGGGACATGGATCAAAATAACACCAGTAAAATCAAAGGAATCCACATAAATATTACTGATGGCTTAACAGCTAACCAACCACTTTAGCTGGACAGCTATCAATCCAGAGCAGCTAACGTTAACGTTGGCCAGTATGTAACGTTGGTTTACATTTTGTCTCACCTCTTTTGGAGTTTGCTAACCTCCTTTTCAAAATATCCGACCAGTGAGGCTGTTGTTCTTTATCCATACTGCTCCAAAGTGAATCTAATATTTCATTAGTACAACCCTTCAATCTAAAAGACACATTCAAAGTAGAGTTTGTGTACAAAAGCAGCCAAGCCACCCAAAAATGTTGGCAAAGCAGTCTGAAAAAGAATGTGGCTTCCGGTTTGAATCTTTTAAATTTCAAAATAAAAGTGTCTCTACGTTTGGTTTAACGTAAAGCCCACAAAAGCCAAACAATTAAGTAGCTAAGTAGATATCTATGTATATATATATGTCAATTCAAATCGAATATTCATCGCAAGGTAATTAATGCAATTATTTAAGGAAGTCTCATCGTCTCTTTACAACCACACAAGTTAAGTAGGCACAGAGGCTAAAGTAACACAGAAGACCATGCCTCTGTGCTAATCTTTAAGACATTTATATAAAATTATTACTTTTTTTTTTCTTTACGAAATGTTCTACACATCCTTATCTTTGTAATGAAATCTGCATTAAGCGGTACAATTTGCTCCTTTTCCATTTTAAACGTTTTAAACCGAACTGCTTGTTCCGGTGTTACGGATTTGGCACTTAACTTGACGCAGCTCACAAACGGAGCTGTCAAGCGTTGATGACGTCAGGGTGTGCGACTCGACTCATGCTCAAAGTTGTGTTTATCCATGAAGTTATATAGCAAATAAGAAGCTGTTTTAGTTCTTTTATTTGAATGTCGAAGGGAAGTGTGAGTTGCATTTTAAGGGCTAATGATCTGTAGATGTTTATCTTTAAGGAACTGCTGGCATTTGGAAACAGCAACGTTAGCTGGCTAGTCTCATTGGCAGGTCATTGATTCGTGTATCTAACAGCATGTGACAGTTTTGTGGTCCGTTGGTTTTAGAAATAAGTGTTTTTGTATATGGCGTGTAAGTTAAGGATTATTACAGGTTTATCAAGTCAGTGAATGTGAAACGTAATGATAAATAATCTACAGTAAATCCTGACAAGCCCAGAGGTTTAACATGGGCTCCACCTTCATATTAAAAGTCAGAATAAGCCTGAAACCCTTGAAGCCCTTCTTTCGCCAGGGAAGTTCAGCTTTCTTCACACCTAATACTTCTCTGTGCAAGTCGTCTCAGCTGCCTCTTTCTGCACGCTTTCTGTGCACCAGAGACTCTAACCCCAGCCCAGGCAGCAGAGAGATGGACAGAAGGAACAGGGGGGGAATAAGAAATGGCACCATTAGACGCAGGGAAGAGGAAATGTGGGAGGGTGCTGTGAAGGGAAGTGGTAAGAGCTCCACACTTCGACAGAAGCCTTCCTTCCCCAAATCTGTGTTTGCTGCTGGGACGGCAAAGAGGACGGCAGAGATGCTGAAGAGGAAAGCAGCTCTGGGCGGTCAGGATGAAGAGGATCCTGAAGGAAGGACAGCTAGAGCAGCAGGTAGGACATACTGGAACTATCTACTTTAGAAGGCATATTTTTTCACAGTCTGAGCTTTTTGGTACAGAATACGACACCATTTCAGAAAACAAATAATGGGCAGGGACAAGGCAGTACAGATAACTGCAGAAAAAGTCCACATTTCTGGTTGTTATACCTGCTCAGCAGAGACTTAGATAAAGTTATGTTAAATTATGTTTTTCTAATGCCTTATAAAGTGTAAATGAATCTATTACAGTGTTTGGGAATCATTGTTTCGGTTTCCTCCACTGAAGCATGAAGGTTTTACAGGGAAAGTGCAGCCTCCCGACCGGCCACTCTCTGCTGCTGAGTGGAGGCAGCTGAAGGAGTCTCTGGGAAATTCGCAACGCTTTGAGATCCAGATGATGTGTGCGCTGTTTGCCTATGGCGCAGAGCTGGATATCGCCAAGTAAGAGGAGGACGAGTGGGTTTGTGTGTCTGATTTTGAAAAAACATTTAGGTGAGGTGCAATTGTCCTTACAGTAAATTGGAACTTTTACATTATGTCTGTTAATTTTATGCTGTGTTGTTGTTTTACAGTTTGCTTTTGGGGTAAATCTCAAGCATTATAATTCAACATTTATTGTAAATAACATGACTGAAGAAAATACAGCTCTGGAAAACATTAAGAGACCACTCCATATTTGTCTTAAATCAGTATCTCTATATATATATGTATGGCAGCCATTCCATTCCACTGGCACACACCAACACAGGCACACCTCATTCTACTTAATGAGGTACTAAGAAAGTGATGACCTGAGCCAAATCTTATTTAACGAGGAAAAGTATAAAAACCACTGCTGTGGTGTGGTCATCACTATCCTCGTGCAGTAGGACCAGCTGGATGGCAAAAACAGTGCTAGTAGTACAGTAAGGTAATCTGAACAAAAAAAGGAACAAATGACCATGCCAAAAGAGTTGAAAAGAAAAGTTTTGAGTGAGGAAAAGAAGGGTTCAATTCTGGCTTTGAAGGAAACAGTGAGCGTCAGGTTGTATCCATCCTTAAAATACAAGACAGCAGTTCATAAGAACAAGGTCAAGCATTGGGGAGAACAAAGCCACAGACTGGCAGAGGGTGAAAACGATTGTCCACTGACCGGGATGTCCGCCAACTCATTCAAATGTCACTCAAAAACCGTAGGATAACATCAAGTGATTTACAAAAAGAATCGCAAACAGCAGCTGGGGTGAAGTGCACGCAGAGGGCTGTTGGAAACAGGCTCCAAGGGGCAGGGCTGAAGTCGTGCAAAGCTGGTAAAAAGCCCTTCATCATCATAAAGAGCCCAGGGGGTGGGTGTGTGTATTTGCTTAGTCTTTAGGCCCCTATGTACAAGCTTCACATAGCTTAAAAAAAGGGTGTCCCTTTTCACAAATATTTCTGATTGTACTTGTATTTTAATGTTTTGTGGAAAAACTGAACTGAACTGAACTGAGCTTGGCATGGTGCAGCGACAAAGACTAAAACTAATAAAAACTAAAATAAAACTAAGCATTTTCAAAAAATGGCATAACGTCACCCAACAGCCATGTGAACAACTGGTGGAGAGCATGCCAAGACGCATTAAAGCTCTAATTAAAAATCAGGGTTATTCCACCAAATATTGATAAGTTAAAATATTATATTTAAAAATTAATGTGAAGGTCTGGAAAAATGTGTGTCTTTTGTGTTATTTAAATAATTTAAGTTAAATATAAAATAAATAATCTAAATATCATTTTTATTTGGAACTTTTTGAAATTTTGTCAGAACGTTTGTAGAATAAAACAAAAATCTTTATTTAAAATTATTATTTATAAAAGTAAGTCCTTAATTTTTTCCAGAGCTGTATAAACAAGGCAAGTGCTCTCTGAAGGTCAGTAGCGTGTGTTAAAAACACGTGCTCCACCTGTCTTCCACAGGTCCCTGCTGTCTTTTGTAGCAATGGAAACAGGGACCCTGTCTTATGAGCTGTTATTACGGTACCTGACGCTGTGTGTGAGCGGCGGCCATGACGCCGAGGTGTTTGATGTCTATGACATTATGCGGGGAAGTTTCCCTTCTCTGGAGACGGGAGCCTCCAGCCTCTTTATCAAGTCCTTCAGTCGGACGGCGAGGTGGAGGGAGGCTGTCAGCATCCTGCATGAGGTTAAGAAGGTGAACAGTGTTTTTATGGTTACTTAAAAAAAAAAACACACATTAAACTCATGTTGGCGCTGGAGGACATGACATCCCTACTCTATCATCACCTGGTTGTATTGTCTTCCTAACAGGTCTTTACCCCTTCCTCACGCAACTATGGTTATGTCATCTCAGCAGCGATGTTACATGGTGACACGACCACTGCCTGGGCTCTTTATGATGAATTAATTGAAAAGGGACTGAGCCCACACCAGGAGACCTGGGAAGCTCTGTTTAAGGGAGTGGGAGAGACTAAGGAGGGAAAAGGGAAGCGGGCAGAGGCCATGTCTCAGTCTGAGCACCAGGAGAGGCTACTGGGGATTCTGCTCTACATGAGGAACAACCAGATCTACCCCCAACACAGCCTCACCAGCAGCATCAAGTCCTGGTTTGAGAGGTACAAGAGCGTGATAAAGAAGGGTTCGGTGGGAAACTGAGGCTTGATGCACATCATACAGTTTCCTTTATTCAGTTTTCTCAACTGTGGCAAAGTCTTTCAGTCTGAAATAATTTGCCTAAAAAATTTTAGAAATATAAAAACACAGTAGATTGACTGATGGCAAGATATTATTTGATAAGTCTAATCACTTATGGTGTTCAAAAGGGCTGCTTTTAAAACCATAATGTGCCCATTAAACTATAACTTCTTTCTTCCCTTTTTATGCTGATTAAAAAACAAGTTTAAACTGCAAACCAACATTCATACCTGAAGTAACTTTCCTTTTCATGTATGAACATGATCTCTTTCTCTTTCATTTTATATCCACCCCAACCATCACTCCTCGCTCTGATTTGTCTTTTCTCCGTGTGCCTCGTCCTCCCTCAGTCTCACAGGGCAGAAATGGACAGGAAGTTGGACCAGCACCACCCCAAAGTAATTACCCCACTTCCAAGCTCAACATGAATTTTCATAGCTTTTTAGTTTTTCACTCATCTTTTTGCACAGTCAAATCTGTGTGTTCTATATCGTATATGTATAATGTATGTATGCACCGTATGTATGTGTGTTTAGGGGTGTGTGTGGGTGTTGTGGGTCTGAGTTGGAGTCCATCCAGCTGACTGCTGAGGAGTACCAGCAGCTGAAAGACAGAGTGATGACCGACATCATCCAGGGACGAGATGTTTTCAACAAGACTACACCGGAGGTACATACACGGACAAAACACACACACACACTAAGCAGGGTTCACATGTCCTTAAGAACGATCAATCTAAGATAATAAATAGCATTTAAATAGCTTTAAGACATCTCTACTAGGACTTGAGGACACAGTATGCAGGTTTATTTTAAATTTAATTTCATTGTATGCGGTGATTACATTTTAAATTGTAATTATAAATAGATTACTTACAATATATTTGATTATATTAAGTTTTGATAATTGATGTGTGCTTGTAGTATGTCCATTAAATATCATATTAACCTTTAGAATATTAAAGGCCATGACAATAATGCATTATGCTAATTATGGTTGGTGTCAAAAGTTTGGGAACTTTCAGCTTCAGCAGTATGTTAAATAATAGTATAGTGTGTTTTGCTATCTTATTTTCTAATTGGAAATAATCTATCCTAAATAACCAGGTTGTTCTAAAAATGTGCAAATAAATATGCCAAAATCGGATCTATTTTAAGGCGTTTCTGTCAGCAGCATGGTGCATTAGCTTCCTAGCTCCTTCTCTCTAATCTCTGCTAGGTGGCGTCATTGTTACACAGGCAGCACTAGGCTGTTGAGACTCTCTAGTGAAGGCTGTCACAAGCTCTCTCTATGAATGAGCGTAGGCACGGTGAGCTGGCAAAGACTCATTTTACATTCATTTCCTCTGGGCTGGTATGTCTTTGATATTTAGTAATTAGTCCCCAGGACACAGCTAACTAGCTCTCCACTCTTTATGCTTACTAGCAAAACAGTCATAACTTTTTACAATTTTATAGATAACATTTACAGAAAATTATATTAACTATCAGCAGCACTTCAACATAAAACAGAGATTAAAGGAACAGTTTGACATTTTGCACCTGCAGACGGTTAGCTCAGCTTAGTAAAAAGACTGGAAACAGGGGGAAACAGCTAGCCTGGCTTTGTCCAAAGGGTGAAAAACATGTCTATAACATGTTCTAACTGGTTTGTGTAATGGGAAAAATGACACTTTGTTGTTGTGGTGGTGGTGGTGGTGGTGGTGGTGGGGGGGCAGGTGGTTTTAGTCTTTATGCTAATATCTTCAAATCTGATAGACACTAAGGACAGTTGTATCAGTTTTCTCAACTATTTCTGTGCAAGAAAATGAATATGCATGTTTCTCAAAACCGTGTCTTTAAGTTAAACTATTCTGCTGCTTATGGGCAGTGGGCTGGTAATGTTTTACATGAAATATGAAAATTTGTATGTTTTGAGGTAGCAGGGAGCCATGGTGTCTGAAGGGCTTAAAGTTTCAATGAGAGTATCACTCAGTCGGGTCATGGTTTTAAGTGTTTCAAAAGAGGTAGGACTCAATCCACGTGTTTGAGAGACGGCTTCAGTTTGTAGAGAGTTAGGATCTGATACTAGCAAAGAGGGCAGCACACACATGCACGCAAAGTTAAAGACTGAATGAGGAATGTGTTTTTAACTTGTATGCCCCTTTATAACCAAGAGAAGGCAGTCAACACTTTATGTCTTGCATGCATATGTGCACTGTCTGGAGACGGAGCCAGGGCACACGCCTTTTCATTGGATTGGAATGTTCTGGCTGTATTTTTTATAATGCCAATGACGATAAACTTAAAAACAAGGTTATGCACCTGAAATAGTTCCAAAAAGAAACATGGCAACATCAGCAAGTAGTTAATATGTCATATTTTAATTTATGAAAAGGGAGAAAGTTTGCATGTTTTCCTTTGTGTTTTTCGGTAGTCAGGGGGAGTTTGTTGGTGCAACAGTTAGTTAAATTGAGGGGATTTCCAGCATGTGGAGCACCATGTGAATCTGGACCACAACTACCTCCCGCAGACTAAGGAAGGCAGACAGACATGCTGTTTAACTTGACTTTATTAATTTCCACATTTAAGGCAATTAATTTTAAGGGCAACAGAATGCTTCAGACAACAGTAAAGCAACAGAAGCCTGCAGGGTCATAAACAGATGGGGTAAGAGAGGAAAGGAAGGGCGTCAATGTAAAGGGGAAGAGGATCATTGCATGTTGTATTTTTAAGCACAGAGCGATATATAGATAGATGTTGAGACACATGACAAAGCAGACAGAGATCATGCATTGTGTTTTCATGCAACACAGAGTAACCAGGAACATAGAAACCCCTTGTGCCATTTAATGCAAACTAATGGAATGGCCATAATTTGCCACCTATGTGTAACCTATATCTCCTCTCTGATACAAAGTTTCAACAAGAATATTAAGTATATATATTAAGAGTTTCCAGTGGTGGTGTAGTGCATTCAGTGGTGGAACGCAGCTCCCACAATCTAGCAATACTCCATTATAGGTAAAGGTTCTGCATCCACAATAGGGCTGAACAATTAATCTAGATATTATAAAACATGCAATATGCCCAAGTGCAATATCCAAATTTCAGGAGCTGCAAATTAATGACAAAGGTCAAATGTGTTACTACAAACCATTAGATGAAAAAATGTTACAGAGATGACGTGGCCTACGAATAAAATTCTCCTGACGTAAGGGAACATACTTGTTTGGTACAAGCCCCAGCGAAATTCACATCATCATTTTGACCTGTGTGAAAATTAAATGCAAAAACTCCACTTTCCTCAATTTCCACTAAAATCATGACTCATATCACACCCCTGTATGTAATTTTTTTTTTTTTTTTTTTTTTTTGAATGTCGGATTGCCCTGATCCAAGATCACAATTACATAAGTATTAACAACAAAATGTACTCGTTCTGCAGAAAAATCCCCTGTGACTGATATTATGATATATGTCATTATTAGATTGTTAATGCTGATGCATCAATGTGCAAGCAGCATACCGTTTTAGTTGGTCGGGGTAATAACTTCTTTATTTAAAATACAGGTAGGCTTTGTATTTTATAAGCTTATCATGTGGTTTTTAATGTAAAATCTTATCTTGGAAAGTAACTAGTAACTATAGCTGAAACATTGGGGGCTTAGCCAAGCTTAGAAATGTGTCAAACTGAAGCATCACCTTGTCTTTTACACCTTCCATTTCACTCTTTTTTTTTTTTTTTTCGTTTTTTTTTTCTCTCATATAAGTCATTGAGCTACATTAATACATTGATAGGCTATACATGAATTATTATTATTAGTAGAAGTAGTATTAGTATTATTAAGACAAATGATACATAACATAATGTAATATAATAATAATATTAATTCGGGGGTCTGGAGGTCCTCTACCAGAACATTTTGAGTGTTAAACACTTCACTTCCTGCATTGTGGTGAATTTTTCTGCATCAGTTTATGGTGGAAATTTCTTTATTTATACAGCATTAACATTAATATCATCCCTGCTGAGTCAACACACATGTAGCATGACTGACTGAAGTAACGTCTTTAAATGTGTTTGTGGCGCCTATTCACGTCAATAATAAATGAATTTATTTTTATTCATTTAGAAACCTTACTTTAATAGCCCCTGTGTGTCAGCAAGTTTTCTATTCGCGTTCAAAAACTCTCTGCATATTCAAAATCTGTCCCACAATTGTGTAATCTCTGACATTCCCAGAATAAAGCGAAAAAAAGTCTTAATTTTACATAAATAAAGTTGCAATCTAATGAGAATAAAGTAAATGTCAAAATAAATGAAGTAAAATAATTTAACAAAGTCTACCTGTCCTATACTCTGTTGTGCATTAGCCTACGTTATTGTTCTGCTGATATGGTAGAGAAATAGATCCAGGGCATTAGCGCCGGATGTCCCGGCCTAACGGCTCCTACAGCTGTAAATAAATAAATATGATGTACTGTTAGAGCTAAATAATCTACCAGCATACAATATGTTTTTTATGCCAACAGAAGCTTTATGTTTTGGGCCAATATAACGTATTTCAGCACTGTTAAAAGCCCTGGAAAACCAAACAAGATCAGACGTTTGGTCTGTTTAACATATAAAAACTACAGCACTATTCTTCCCACAGTCTTCTGGTTTTCTGCTTTCAGTTCACTACAATGCACATGTTGCGCTTCAATTCCACAAATAACAATTCCAGGCAATAAAAAATTATTACATACATTGTTAGGGTTTTTATCTTGCTCTCTGCCTGCCTTTGCATGTTTTTGTTGTCTGACCTGTTTTCTTAGGTTTCTTATGTTTAAAGCACTTTGGTCAGCTCAAGTTGTTTTAAATTTAGAAATACATTTGATTACTTGACTTGGCATGCAAGGTTAGCCTCTATATAATGATCTGGTATTACTGATGCTGCCATTAGTGATAATTTATCTCAAATACTTTTGGGTTCAGTATTTTTTTTCAGCTGTTTGCAATTTAGAGACAATGTAGGCCCAAAAGATAATCCTGTTATGCTATACAGATCTCACAGATATATGATGATAATATATTAATAAGCATGCTAATCTTTAACCCAAGGTAAAGTAATGTAGTCTACTGTAGTTTCTATGCGCAGAGAGGATTTCTTTCTTCAGTGTAGCACTTTGAAATCAGCTGAAGTTGCACAGTACTGTATAATGCATGATATATACAATTATGGTGTTTATATTATCACGGTGCTGAGCATCTCCCCATGTTAGGATGGTGTGGACACTTAAAATGTATAGTTTATTCACATTCATTCCAAACATTACTTGTGATGTAACTTTACTTTAATATGGATTCTTAGAACTAAGAAAAACTCACCAGGAAGTTTAGTGTTTGAATTAAAATTGATAGTGGTAATTATTGCCTGGATCCTGCAGTCAGTTGTGTTTTTAAAGTTTTTGGTATATGCTACAATGTTAATGCTGTAGTGTATCGTGCTTTGTGTAATAATGGTGCAAGGGTGGCACTGTAAGCTTATGTATGCAGGTGCAAATGGATCTGTGTGTGTGTGTGTGTGTGTGTGTGTGTGTGTGTGTGTGTTTTAGCAGTCATATTATCCACAGCAGCACAATGAGCGGGTTTCACATATCAGCTCTGGAAAGTCCCTGGATAATTATACTGGACTTTCTGTCTGTCTTTCTCGCTGTCTCTCTCTTCCTCCCTCTTCTGCTTTGCTTTTTCTTTGCCAAATAAACATTGGATTTTTTAACCCTTCCTCCATCATAACAAATCACTCTCCTCATCCCCATCTGTCCATCATCCACCAGTCTCCAGTGTGAAAGTGCACGTTGTTATTGTCCCATAGTGTATTTGGGCATGTATGGGTTTGGTGAGTTAAAGCAATCAAAATAGATGCTGGACCTTCAACACAGTTTGGTTTAATCTAGTGCACCGTTCCATCAGAGGAGCAATATTACAGCAAATACTGCCATGTTTGATTATGAGTTCTTGATAGTGTGCACACTCAGGTTGCTAGTCCAGGGGAATTCACAGCAAGCTATTTCCATACTACTGCTATCTCAAAGTGAAAGTAGTAACACTGTTCACGTGCTGGAGGCCTATTCTAACCTGCTTCAGCACAACTCCTCTGTTATGATACAAAGCTTTAACACTGTATTTAACACATTCACTAGAATTGGACTCTAATGAAGCCTTTTGGATGCCCTGCAGTGCAAAAGAAAACTTATGGTCAAGAGATGACAAATACATTCAGCAAATTGTAACTTCACTATTAGCTGGATTTTTAGGTGCTGTAGTTATGCTAAAATTAAGTTTAAGACAGACCACCGCTTTTTACTTAAATACTGTATATTATATCCTCATCCTCAGTGTGTTTATGTTATTTGCTAATTAACTTTATCATTCAGGGTAATCTATTGTCAGTGGAACTGCCAGCTGGCACTCTGCCATCTCAGTAACGAGAAGCAAAGGCCAGGTAGATTTATTACTGGCAAGCCTGTGATCATTCAGCGAGAAAAGCAGCCAACCATCAGGCCAGTCAGCTCACAGGTGGAGTTCAGATACGCTCCGTGATCACAATAAGGAACAAGCCCCTTAATGTTATTGTTAGAGAGTTCTGCAGACTTTTTCTGTACATTTTCAGTACTGCACGTATTTAGTCAGACATCCAGTTTATTAACCAGTCAAATTTTCAGCTTTTACTGAAAATGAGTAAGTCGGCCGCTATACATGTGCATACTAAGTATGTTTTGACGTCAATAACTTCTGGTTTTGGCTCTGTAGTCATCAATGGAAAATTAAACTAAATAAGGTAAGCTGAGTAAAATAAGGCACTGGCCGTCAGATTTGTTGTGAGTGCATGCCCTACTTATTTGGGAATTGAATGGACGTCTGACTAGTAGCACGCTAAAGGGAAAAAAAAAAGAACTGCAACATTTCTTGCCCTTAACTGGCTGCGTTTTTATTATCATTTATAGCCACGCTTAAAAGCTCTAGAGTCTGTCAGTCGGTCAGTCCATCACTTTGGTCCAGACTGAAATATCTCAAAAACTATTAGATGGACTCTGACTTTGATCCTGCTGACTTTGGTGATCCCCTGACTTTTGCCTAGGGCCACCAGCAGGGCAAATGTATTACTTATTCAGTATATCTCCATATCTACTGGATGCATTGGACCAAAGAAATCTTTCAGACATTCATGGGTCCTAGAGGATGAATTGTAATGACTTTGATGATCCGCTGACATTACCATCAGCCTCAGTTGTAACTGAGCAAATATTACCATGTTAACACACTTAGTTTAGTTTGTTAGTTTAGATTGTAAACATGGTAAAATTTACCTGCTATGTATCAACATGTTGGCATGCTGACGTCAGCATTTAGCTCACAGCAGTACAGCCTCACAGAGCTGCTAGCATGGCTGTAGACGCTTCTATTAACATCTACACACTCTACTATAAAAAATGTTTTTTAAGTATTGCACTATATCCAGGTATAACTTGCCTATCTTTATCTAGTTCTTTATTTTTACTCCTCCACTGACCTGTTTTTCTCAGTATCATCATACTCTCTCTCTGTTCATTTCTGTCCATCTGTCTCTCTGTCTATCAATGTGTCTGTTCAGGAGTTGGAGAGGTTCAAGGCTTTTGTGAAGAGGAAGCCAGCGTTTGATGTGGTCGTAGATGGACTGAATGTAGCAAATATCAACAAGGACAAAAGCAAGCTGTCAGAGACGGTGAGAAAACACAGATGCACATGCACAATGTGATTTTAAAAAATAAAAAATAAAAAAAAAGAATGAAAGAGTTCAGCTAAATATTTTACAGGGTCTACCAGTCTAAAGGTGGTTATTCAGAATCATCTCTGCACATGTACACACACATTTTAACAGTCTAGATTTTACTGGGTTCTTCCTACATATATGTCTGTCCAACCCTGGGGCTTTTCTGCCAGTTGCATTATGACATTATGACTAACCCTGCGGTGTGTGTTTGTGTGTGTGTGAGTAGATGTGTGTAGGTGATGCCTCTTTAACTGGCCAACACATGATTTTAATAACACCAAGCCTACTTGTCTGCCCACATATGTCTGTCTGTCAGGATGTGTGTGTGAGAGCGAGAGATAACTATCGGTCCTTCTGTCTCACGTTCTTCTCTATGTGGCTGCAAGACAAAGGAAAGTACAAACAGACAAACCTATTGCCACGCTTATTCATCTACATCATCGGAAAGCCACATAAATTATTAAAATTCATGCAAAAGTCAAAGAAATTTACATTAGGACCACTGACAGAAACGTTTATTCAAATGCCTTTATGATTAAAATCCGTCAGCGATATGAAAATACCTGCTGAATTTATGATTAACAAGAGTCTACAGCCATGCTATCGAAACTGTGAGGCTGTACACTTAGGCGAAACGGTCCTTTGCGCTAAATGTCAGCATGCTAAAATGCTCACAGTGACAATGGTAACACTCTGAAGTTGAGGATATAATATTCATTACACAGTAAAATGTTCACCATCTTAGTATAGCGTGTTAACATTTCCTAATTAGCACTAAACATAAAGTATAGCTTAGGTTCATGGGAATGTCATTAGATTTGCAGGTATTTACTCATAAATATTGGACAAATTAAAATTTTGACCTGATGAGGGTGCTAGATGAAAAGTCAGAGGGTCACCATAATTTTTACAATTCATGAATGGGACATGAATGTGTCTAGCAAGTTATATCGTAGTCGTGCTAATAGATTTGTGAAATTTTACTTAAAACCTCAAATTTCAACCCTATGGTGGCGCTAGAGGAAAAGTCAGAGGGTCACCAAATTCATAGGTTCTTCCTCTGGGGACCACAAATATCTGACAAAACATAACTGCAATCCTTCACATAGTTGGTTCATCTATCTGAAGGATTGCTATCCATAGAGCCATGCCACTAGCATGGCTAAAAATTGTATATGCACACTTATTAAGCGAATTGTATTCCTCAGCATTAATTTTATCGTTGAAAAAACACAAGGCTCGCAGTCCTTCCACAATATAATTGAACCTCAAACCTGAATGTTTAACTGAGGAAACATGAGTTTTGTCTTACTCAAGAGAATATATGTGTGCAGAATTATTAGGCAACTAAATTATCAAAATAATTACTGTTAAATTACTTGTTTATTTTTAATTTATTTTTAAGTGTAACAACACAAAATGACAATTAAATAAAATTTTTGGCCTTTCAAAAATATTTTGTAACCAATATAGCCACCCTTCTTTTCACTACCTGCCATGAGCCTTCCATCCATGGAGTGTCACTTTCTTGATCTGTTCACAATCAACTTTCACTGAATCAGCAACCGCAACCTCCAAAATGCTGTTCAAAGAGGTGTATTGTTATCCCTGACTGATAATGTGACGTTTGAGAAGGGCCCGCAAGTTCTCAATAGGATTCAAGTCAGGAGAGGAAGGGGGCCAGGTTATTATTCATAAGTCATATTTGAGGCCCTTGCTGGATAGCGTATTAGTGGAGTACTTGGAAGCATGTGATGGATCATTGTCCTGCTTAAAGATCATGGCCTTCTTGAAAACCGAGGGCTTCTTCCTGTACCACTGCTTAAAGAAAGTATCTTTCAGAAACTGGCAATAGGTTTGGGAGTTGAGTTTCAGTCCGTCTTCAACATGAAAAAGTCCAACTATCAAATCCTTAATGATAGCAGCCCAGAACAGTACCCCTCCTTGTGCTTTTTGCTCACCAGCTGAACCCCAAATTGCCTCTGGTGGCTGTTCCGCCAGTGTGTGAATGTTAGTTTCTGTTTGAGCACTTAGGCTCAGTGAATGAATGTGTGTAAAAGTGCTTTGAGTGGTCGAAAAGACTAGATAGGCACTAGACAAATACGGAGCATTTACTATTAGCAACAAAACGTTTGATTGTCCAGTGGTTACTGCTCAAAAGTGTTGCATCTGTCTGATTAGAGTGTGTGTGTGTGTGTGTGTGTGAGATTAAACCGACACTTTTCAGTGTCGGTTTAATCTCTTTTTTCATCCATTTTTTTTTTTTTACCTGAAGTGATGAAGCTGCCTAATACCTAACACCTTGATATAAGGTGTGATTCACTTTCACCACACCCTCCCTCATTATATAAATACATATCACCTGAAAATGATTAACTCCAGTGAGCATTCATGTTTATATGGTTTAGAGTTGGAAAATGGGCACCGAAATAATAATTGATTCAGAATACTTACATGCCTAATAATTGTGCACGCAGTGTATACATAACATACAGAAATATACATAACATAACAGATAATATAACGTCATCTAAAGGCTTCCCAAGGGGCCCACAGACTCACTACAGACACTAAACATCTTGGCAATCGATTCCCCAGATTTCATAGTACATCTCTGTTTAACAAAGCTCTTGGTTCAGTGCTACAAAAGTAAAGAGTGGTAGTTTTTACTGTGGCAATAAGTAGGTTGATAGAAGTGCTTCATTGCATTATCCTTTTAAATCAGTACGAGAGGTACAGTAATTGTCTCAGCTATATCTTAGGGTCCATTCAAAAAAACAATACACAGTTCTTCCTGTTCCCTCTGCGTATCTTAAGACAATAATAAAAAACACAACTTGTTATGCGTACACGTACAAATGCATGTAACACTGCTATGAGTGTTTGGTTTTTTTTGTATGCAATTTACAAGTTACTTATTCCTATTCATTTCTCTACTGTTTTATCTTTTTAACACACAATGGCATGTTATAGGATCTGACACACACACACACACACACACACACACACACACACACACTCTAACAGTCAGCGTTAGATTGTAAACAATGTACAGAATCGTCTTAAAACTTGAATCGTGTAGGAGCAGCTACATGAACCAGTAGGTGTGGTTATGTATCTGAGTGGAGCTGGCATCCAGATTTTCATGTTGTACTTGTTAATGTTAACATAAATAAAAATATTGAGGTGTGCGTGTGTGTTTCAGTTGTTGGCGGTGGTGTCAGAGCTGGAGCGTCAAGGCCGGACTGTTCTGGTGTTGGGAAGGAAACACATGCTGCGGCCCTCCAGATCCTGGGAGAGACACAACATGGACCTTATCCGGCAGAAAGCTCATTGCTTCTTCACTGACAACATGTGAGCAGCTGATAATAAAAGGAGAATATTATGTTCCATAGAAAACACATTTACACATCATATTGTATACTAATACTCTCATATTATCACCATTCGTTCATTCAGTCATGCAACTGCAATTCAAAAATTGTAGAAGTAGTCGCAGAACAATTCTTCAGCATGTGGGAGGCTGGCTAATAGAAGACAGGGAAAATGTTGCATGTTTAATTCAGCACATTGTTATTCAGTTACACCTGTTTATTCACAGCCTTTTTGTTTATGAGAATCTATTTGGAATGAGTTGACCTCACACCTTTTGGTTTATGTGTCTGTCAGTTCGGAGGATGACCCCTTCTTGCTGTATGCTACTTTGCATTCTGGGAACCACTGTCAGTTTGTGAGTAGGGACCTGATGAGGGACCACAAAGCCTGCCTGCCAGACGGAGCCACCAGACGGCTCTTCTTCAAATGGCAGAGAGGCCACCAGCTGGTAGTGGATGGATGCATTGCAGCAGGCAGCAGAGTCCGATTTCAGGTGAGGAAGAGGAGAAGGAGCAGGATGAGAGGGGGGTGGGTATGAAGGGAGAGGGTTCATAATTGGGCATGAAGAAAGAAGCATACCAAATAAATGTGTATGTGTGTGTAGAGTATTCCCAGCTATGACACCATTGTCCAGACTTCAACGGTCTCATGGCACATACCCTACGATGACACAGAGGACAGGAGCACCTATGAAGTACCACAACGGTGGCTCTGCATCACCAAAAAGCACTGAACACACACACTCTTAACTCATACGCTTTGATGATACCTGTGGACATGTAAATAAACATTTACCACAAATAACTAAGTGGCCTGCACTCTTTGTTTGAGCTTTGAATCATAGGAAAATTACATTTGATTTGGTTTTTAGTAATGCTAAACATCCCTGGTACTCTCATTGGAAAGGAGCAACAGGGTTGCAGTCATCGACAGCGACATCTATAAACTACAAAGCTGACCCGGAAATTAAAGCCTTCAATCGGACAGATAACTTCCGCAGTAGGTGACGTTTGTCATGTTTTGCCTCTGTTGCCTCTCAGTATAGTTTCAATTTCAGTCCCCATCAGTTTAGCTTATATATTTTACAACCGTCATGTCTCGGGGGTCAACTGCAGGGTTTGACCGCCACATCACCATCTTCTCTCCGGAGGGAAGACTCTACCAAGTTGGTAAGTAATTTAACGTTAGCAAGAAATGCACAAAGCTCAACCTGCTCTGTCATCACTACTGGCTAACAGGCTAACATTAGCTAGCACATGCTAGCTCGCCCATTCATAGTTAAGTGTTCTTTAGAGAGCATTATATTTCATTACATCGTGGTATACTCTAAATAAACAATTAATATATAACATTATTCTCAGTTAAATAATTTCGTAATAATGAACTAACGAGGTTATGTTGCAGTTGTGCTAGTTACCTTAGCTAACATTAGCTTATTTAACCTGTGTAGTGCTACCATAAACGTGTGTGTAAATATTTTTATTAGAATTTAAGTGAATTTCTTAAACAGATTTTCTAACAACCACTTAGGTAGCACACTGTTTACACCTATATTCAAACAATTTCTATTAGTCGTTCTTGTAAATGAGTCATCATAACTGAGCTGTATTAAATATTAGCCTCAGATCTGCAACAAACCTTGTCAAAAGAATACCTGTTATAGAGATTACATACTTTGTGTAATACCCATGGTAATACCTAGATAAAAGTAATGTGTATAGAGTTGCATTCAAAACAAATTGCTAGCTTGGTTCCTGATTTAAAAGAACAACTAGTTTTCCCACAATAGTTAAAAGTTTGAAGTTCACACTTCTCAGCTCATGGGTTTATTTTTCCTTCTTTCTGTCTTCAGAGTACGCCTTCAAAGCCATCAACCAGGGCGGACTGACCTCCGTAGCTGTCAGAGGGAAGGACTGTGTTGTCGTAGTCACACAAAAGAAAGTCCCAGTCAGTACACACAGATACATAAGTTTGTGTTTCGCTGTCTTCACAGAACACGTGGTCAGATTTCCACGGCTGTCCTTGTGGTGGTTGCATTACTGGTGAAGTATGTGGTGTACATTTCTCTTTTTGTCTTGTGTTTTTCTCAGGACAAGCTGTTGGATGCCTTGACAGTCACACATATGTTCAGAATTACGGAGAACATTGGCTGTGTTATGACCGGCATGACTGGTAAGCAGTGTCACCCCAAATGTTGAGCCAGTGCTAAATGTTTCTGTCAAAAGACGGTTTGTTGCCTTATTGTCATGTTACTAATGTTCTTATTCAAAGCTAAAAAAAAGCAAACATTATGTTAGCTGTCATTTGAGAGCTGGAGAAAAATTAAGAGTGTGCAGTTTTAGTCAGGTGCAGCAGAACATTCACATTACATAATAATAATAATAATAATCAGAAAAAAACACCTACCTAATTTTAAAAAGTGGTAAGACATGACTTGTTAAGAGTTGCAAATGCATTGTAGCTAGCACAATAGAAAACTAAAACTCTGACCTTCATTATTCCAAAGCTGGCCAGAGCAGCACAGAGTCTACCTGTTCATTGCTGTAAACGATAAACAGAAGTAGTAAGTAAGTAAGTGATATAATTGGGTCAGTGACTGCCTTGTCTGAAACCCAATGTTGAGGGTAATAAATCATCCATCTCTAGTCCTCCTGTCGTCTCATAGAAACATTTATATAATGAGTTATCATATTCTTTCTCTGTAAAAAAAAAAAAACTTGATTGCATTATGTTCATTCATGTATTTGTCCATTCTTAAATTCATTTGTGTGAAAAGCTTTTCCTGCTTCTTCCTTCCTCCAGCTGATAGCAAGTCTCAAGTTCAGAGGGCACGGTATGAAGCAGCTAACTGGATGTATAAGTATGGCTATGAGATCCCTGTGGACATGTTGTGCAAACGCATGGCGGACATCTCCCAAGTCTACACGCAGAATGCTGAGATGAGGCCTCTGGGCTGCTGTGAGTAGTGTGCATAGGTGTTTGTGGATACCAAAAACACGTCGTTAATGATATATGGTTTTTTTTAACGAAAACAGCATGTTAAAAAATGTTTGCCTTTTCATTACTCATCACTCATTGTCATCCACTGCTAAAATAATGTATGTTTCTCTGTGACCAGAGCTAGTTCTACACTAAACCGTCTTTTTGGATGAGTGTAATTAAAATAAAAAGGTTTAGTGTTCCATTGTTTTGTAAATGTTGTTACAGAGTGTTGTTATCACAGCTTGATTTTGAATATCCGCACAAAATATCTTCAGCTCCCATTTACATATTTACATGTTCTTGTTAAAATTGTTTATAGGCCCACAGACCACATTAAATCTAAATATACAATTTTTCACAAAGGTCAAATTTATTTTTCAGTGTGCTGTTTAACCTTTAGCATGAACCACATGTTGAAATAGAAGACATTGTCTCTTTCTCTTTGTTCCTGCTGTCCTGTCTTCCTTTCCCTTCCTCCAGGTATGATTTTGGTTGGATTGGATGAAGAGTTGGGTCCGCAGCTGTATAAGTGTGATCCAGCCGGCTACTACTGTGGCTTTAAGGCCACAGCAGCTGGAGTCAAACAGACTGAGGCCTCCAGCTTCCTAGAGAAGAAAGTCAAGAAGAAACTGGATTTGACCTATGAGCAGACTATAGAGGCATGGGACACACACACACACACACACACACACACACCATAGTTGTATTACATTGCATTGTTGGCACTGGTCTGAAATTTCTTAGCAGTGGAAAGTCGGGGAGTTCTTTGGAGTTTCACAATTGTGTCAATAGCATCATACAATGTAACTGCATTACTTATGGTTTTCCCAGACAGCTAGAGTAGAAACAAAACTGTTGCATCCATCTAACAATATGTAAGTCATGGATTTAGTTAGACAAATCAGGGAGACTTAGAATCCTGATATAACAGATAAAACAGATCTGTTGTTTTTAAATTATTCAGTTTCAAAATATCAGTTCATGTTTTCCAGATATTCATGTAATCCCCTTGGTAAAAGAACAAGAAGTCAAAACAAACATGTGGAATATGGTACCCAGATGTAAATTAAATGTTAAATCTACATTTTGCAAAATTGTTTCCTTATTCAAAATTTAATGTTTGTTGGTAGACGGATATGTGCTGCAGCTATATTTGTTTTTCTAGAGGGCACAACATCTGTTAGATGTTTAAGCACAGCTTTTGGTCTTTAGCCTTTCTTGGAAACCCTGAACATTTTATTTGCTGTCAAATGTTTACAGCTATGTGCACATGCAATTGCTGGCATGCTGACAAGCGCACAATGATGTGTTGCTCACTGGTGTAAGCACAGGTTTTTATTAATACATTTATTACTTAGTGACTCCATTAATAAATACTGTATAGGCATCCCTTATATTCTCATACATTATATTCCCTCTTTCCAGATTATTTGGCTCTGTGTGCTCCTTGCTGTTTCATGTATTTCCCTCTTCTTCCTTTAGTCTTGTTTCTGAACAACTCTCCCACTCTTCTCAAAACAGATGGCTATCTCATGTCTGTCAACTGTTCTGTCCATTGACTTCAAGCCCTCAGAGCTGGAGGTGGGAGTTGTCACTACACAGGAATCAAGATTCAAGTGAGTATTTTCCTGACACAAAGAGAGAGGACACTATTCACTGCCGAGCTGCTGCTGTCGGTGGGTTTTGCAGAATAAAAGTGAGTGGGAGTATTTATGAAAAGGGCAGACAGATTTAGCCTGGATTTCCTGGATGCATTTTGAAAAATAAAACAAAAAGGAAAAAAAGCTTTGTGTATGACAAAACAAGCTGTGACCAGCTGTGAACAGGCAAAAAAAAAAGTCAAGTACAGATCTAAAGTTTTGCATCATTGCACTGAAACTGAAAAAAGCTAAATCACTAAAACATGGTAATGTGTTGGCACAGTCAATAATGCATTATTTTTAAAAATAGATAAAAGCAGACTAGTGTTGTAATGGAAATTCCCTAAAAACTAAAACCTGGGATAAGATCAAAGTAAGGGCTCTACATGGTTAAATGTGTTCTCAACACATCCCATGTGTACGGCCTATAAAATCTGGCCGAACACAAATAATGACTGTTAACTTCTGTGTTTGTGTTCCAGGATTCTGTCAGAGTCTGAGATCGATGTTCACCTGGTGGCTTTGTCTGAGCGAGAGTGAGGAAAGTTGGCAACCAATTTGCTGCCATCATCATTACTCTGAAAAGGATGATGAACGGTAACACCAGAAAACCCCACCTCCTCCACACAAAGAGTCTCGTCTAGAAGGAAGATGAAGGAGCAGTTGGCATCGAACTTGTTCAGAAGAGAGGTGGTACTACACCGTGAGGTTGAGACAAACAAAAAGTTCAGCAGCAAAGAAAATTATGGTCCTTTTTAACCAGGAGGGTAGAATATTTCACCCATCCGCTCTGGCACTTAGCCCTCCTCCATCCTCTCTGGTCAAAGCCATGACCTTAATGGACACAATATTATCCACATATTGACCCCTCCTGCATTTTCCTTTTCGCCACAATATGACGTCCTCACTGCAGGCAGCTGCCAAATGTCACAAAGCCTAGAAAGATGCTGGACATTCACATCAGTCCCCAGTATGACACATCTGTCTGCTCCTTGGTCACTGATGGTGTCAGCCATTGGCCACAGTGCCCTCTGGATGGAGCTCAGCCCAAATGACTTCAGTTGACGAGTGTGACATGAGCAGATTGGAAGATGGGGGTGTGGTAACACTACAACTACAGCACAATACCTCTTTAAGTAGGGTCTGCAGAATTATCTTAAAGTTCTAAATTGGTGCGGTGTATCAAACGGTGAAATGTATGTTTTAAACTGTACATGGTCCCTTTTTAAATAAATCAATGAACTAATACCTCTTACTTCGCACGGACTTTGTGGTCCTGTATCTTGTTGAGTCACTGTATTACAACAGTGCTTCCAATCTTTACTCAGGGCTGCCACGACACGTATTCCTCCCACTTTCTTCATCTGCTTTAAAGTCTCCCCTCCACTGTCTGCAGTTCCAGGATGATGTTTATGCTCTGATGTACTTTGTGATAACCCAGGGAGCAGCTGTGGAATTCTCTAATTGCAGCATCATCGTCACACCCCTGTTGAAGTCTGCTCAGGTCAACGTCAATGGGAAGTCTCTAATTATTATTTCATCGTGTTTTGATCCTCCTCCCACCCCTGCTGCCACTGCTGTACATTAGTGCACTTCTATTAAACACAATGTTTTTATGGAACACACTCGTTTCTGTTTCCTTTTTGTTGCATATTTAATCTTGTAGTGCACTAGCCTTCACATTAATCTCACGGCATTCAGTTCATGCTGCGAGAGGGTTACAAAAATGCTGCTGTCACTTTTATGTCAAAAGCAAACTTAATGGTTTTTATTATTCAGACGTGAGACCAGCATGCCTAATGAGGTGTCTGTTATGTCAATAGTTCCTGTGCTGTGGGTGTGAACATTATTTTCACTATCAGTGTACACAAGAATTAAAGCAGAAATTTACCAGGTCTTGCAGTGATTTAAACTTAATTAGCATTTTGTTTATTTAGATTTTTAACTAGTATTTAAAGTGTTGACTCCAGCTGCTTGACATTGACCTGATGAAATTGAAGGACAAATCTGCAGCACAATTATAGAATTGCATAAACGTACACTTAACGTTTCATATTTATCTGACTTCAATTTGATTTAAACTCCCTTCCTCCACGTTACCCAGAACTTGACTGAAGCATCCTGTTGTTCAGCGGAGATTCCCTTCTTTGGAGGAATAAGAAGCAGGAATGTCACAAGCAGCTGAGTGTTCTGTTCCTGGGAATTTCCTGTCCCTTCCTTCTCACAGCCCCACCCTCCCCAAAACTTCCTGATGTAGATGACTGAGCTATCAGCCCTATTGCCAACATGCAATTTCCCTATGCCTCTAATCTTTCTACGCACGCCGCCGCCGCCGCCCCCCCCCCCCCCCCCGCAGTCAGTTGTCAGTTCCTCGTTCAGTGGAGACGAGTAGTCGAGTTATCTGCCCTTTCCTGCATGACACGCATTATATGAAAATAAAAGGCAGCCGGTCAGAACTGAAACTCAGCTGTCATGCCTTGATGGAAGCATTTATACAAGTACAGACACACTGACGGCAGCAGGAAGGTGCGTGGTTCAAGTAATTTCCCTGTATAATTGCAGCCACGTAGTATTGTCAGGTACTGTCAATTATATGCTGGGTTTGTATGATATTTAGTGATATTATAGAGATACGTCTAATGTACACACATAGACACATTCTTGTGCAAACTTTGGGTGCCATCCAGAACCAACTGTAGTTACATGCCGTCCGTTCCCCCTTCATGTCACCCACCCCAGACTCTACAAATAAATTCACACAGGTTATGACTGTTAAATATGAGTGTTTTTAATTTAACTGGAGTGTGCTGGACTGTTTGCTGTCTAACATGTACATCCTGCTCAACTGTACACATACACAGCTGCCATAAAAAATACATCTTTGTATACACAGCATTTACAATATCATACAACAGAGCTGTTGCAGGTACATCTGTGTGGATGGATGTTTTTGTCACAAATGATTCGCAGCGTCCACAAAATACAAGCAATCCTCTTATCATACAGCAATCCCATCATCGTGTGTCATGTATATTCACATCTCGGCGTGCGTTTTGCTCTCCCGCAGCCTGGAGCGGACTCATTGGTTTATTCGGCCATCAGTCTCTGTTTGATTCTCCTTTGCAGTTGCCTGTCCATCTGTTTTGTCAGAGGCCACGCCCGCGCCGTGTCACCCACACCATCGGGGTTCATGTGACGTTACTGCGGGAAGCAGTAGACATGCCGAGCCATTTCTTTTGTCCTTTACAGTCATCATCGCAGCCTCCTGCCTCTGTAACTTCCTCTCTCTCGTTTCCTGCTAATGCCCATTCCACTGAATGTCGTCATAACTCACCTACAAACACACACAGGACAGAAAAATGGTTACACACGAGCCAGAGAGACACTTTTGATTGTCTTAATGTTACAGCAGAAGCCCTACATTTTCAACACACACCTCCTCATCAGACTCCTCGTCCTCCTCTTCCTCGCTGTCGTCTGATTCGCTGTCAGGCAGCTCCCTCAGGTCAGGTTTGGTCAGTGAGTACAGTTCTTTCCTGATGTCGTCGTCGTCACGACCGTAGGTGAGATGGTAGGGGGTGTGGCCTCCAGAGGTCAGGAGGTTGGGGTCTGCTCCTTTCTTCAGCAGCAGCTTGACCAGTGAGAGATTCTGCTGGTCCACAGCAAGGTGCAGTGCACTGCGACCGTTGCGCTGCTCCTATAAGGCAGGAGAGAAGACGAAGATTTTATTAGCAAGGGGCAAGTGTAAAAGACAAGAAAAGAGGGCTGGGTGTCCAAAAAATATCACCATAATGTAATTTTTGAAATGTACATATATTTGGCATATGGGTCCACATACTGTTAGTTATTGTACTAGGTTTATAAAGTGTGTATTCTCACATATAATTACGGTGTGTGTTGTTTACCTTTGCGTTAATGTCAGCTCCCAGATCCACCATGTTCTCCACCAGTGAGAGGAAAGCATGAACTGAGGCCAAGTGGAGGCAGTTCTGACCTGCAAAAAAACAAAACAGAGGAAGAGCTTAACAACAGTTTCAATTTCCTAGAAAACATCCAGAACAAAAAGGTGGGTCTCAAGTTAATTTAAATTGTAGAAGAGCTCAATAGTATTTAACTGGACGAATGATTTGCTTTAATGTGAATTCATATGATTCTGCCATGTTAATGTAGATTCCTAAAGGTCATTTTCCATTTAATATGCAAAAATTAGTTGAGGGTTTTGTTTTATTTTTCAAAATTTGGTTCCTCAAAATAAATCTGCAAAGCAGCCAGCAGTGCCATACTTAAGGTTTAAAAATGTCTGGAGCCTCCCACATTTCTATTTGGAGCTTTAAGATCTAAACATGTGCCATGTAATAGATGGGGTTTCGCCATGACGTGATGAAGTGCTATGGCATTCCCCTTGCTTGCTTAAATGTTCCCTTCCTCCTAAACATAGTGTTCAGGGATAATGGGCAGTAGAAATGACTCTTTTTGAGCCCACCATTCCTCCTTTTAAATAGCAGTTCAAACCAGCAGCAGACTGGTCAGTGTCTCGTCTGTCTCCATGCAGGGTGGGTGGGCCACCACAGGATGGAAATCATGACAACTGCTACAGAGTATTATATCCAATGTTTAAATTTAGCCTGCCACAGCTAAATTCAAACATTTTAGTTCCCTCACATGTAAACAAAGCATTTATCAGAGCCTGGATATCAGCTCAGGAGAGAATCACAGGTCCTGTACTACAGCCTCACCATGATAGTTGCAGGCAGCCATCACCCTGTGTAGATGCTCCGGCTGACAGTTCTGCGTGATGACGCTGAAGCACAGCAGGTTACCATGGCGACAGGCGATGTGAAGAGGCGTGTCTCCATTGTCGTCCACCAGCGTGGGGTCGCAGCCGGACACCAGGAGACGCTCACACACGTCCGCCTGGTTCGTTATTACTGCTAAGTGGAGCGGAGTCTAGGACGGAAAGGCGTTTTTATTATTTTTTTTATTCCTCATGTGATGACAGACATATTGCATCAATTATTGCTGCAGCCTGGTGGAAAGGGTAGGGTTCACAGCAGAAAACAGAATGAGGTGGAGATGAACAGAAGCAGAGGAGGAAAGATGAGACTGAGTGCATATCAATAAATCCTCTTCATGTACCTGTCTCTGGTCGTTCTGTGTGTTGAGGAAGTCTGTGTTCTTGGACAGGCCTATCATTGTTCTGATATAGTCCTTGGCCTCGTGGATGATGGCCAGGTGGAGCAGCCTATAGAGACAGAGAGGGGAGGTAGAAGACGTGTTAAAATACACAGCCAAATCTACAAGACAAAGGGGGTATTTTCCCACCAGGAAACCAGTGACACACAGGCACATGACATATTGAAAATAACATACTGTTGCCTTTAAACAGTGACACATTGCCCTAGTACCTAATGGTTCCATGATATGGTTTTAAATGCATAATAATTACTTGAAACAACAGCTTTACTTTGTGCTAGATCCTGTGCAGGCTACAAGTCAGTTTTTATTAGATTACTGATAATTTAGAAATCAGCCCAGAAAATGCTGAGCACCCTGTGTTTGACTTCAATAAAGACACACAAAAATGATATATAATGGATCTTATAAAGGGGGGGGGGGGGGCAGTCACGTTGACTGCTCTGCTGTGGCTTCAAACATTTGTGTAATTTGGTTAAATCACCAACGTGGTTTCATACTTCATCGGGCCTCACTTCTGATTAATTAAGTCACGTTGTTCACCTTTAACCCAACATCACATGAGCACGTGCTACATAAACAGTAACACCACTGTACAGAGTTTGAACTATATTTCTCGGCGGATGAATTGTGTCATAATAAAATAAAATAATAATAATAATAATCTTGGTGTTATTCCCCATGGTTTTATAACAGCAACAAACCAAACACGCGCATTTCAGGACAGAGTTTCACCTTCAGCCTCCGTAGACTTGCGTTTATGTACTTTTCTAGTTCCCCCCCCCCCCTTCTCGCTTCACGGGAGCGCGCGTCGGTCGGATTCCTTGGCGGCGCGCCCGGGACTTTCCCAGTCTGACCCGCGGCCATAGTGGATTCCCTCCTGATAATAGCCTTTTGTTTACGTCCAAAACCCGCAGTGTCTGACCACAGCTAGGCCCATTATTAAACCCGACACCCATTCTGTGTATTGTTAAGAGTGCAGCAGCGTACTTTTATAAGCCCTGCTGCTTACAAGTTAAGCTCCGGCCCGGGCTGGGTTAGGTCTGGGCCTGTGAATTGTAACGTTAACGACAAGCTGGAGAGGAAGACATTCCCCACAGGAAAGGGATCAAATTACATCCAAGACCCAAGCTGGGCCCAAGTTACTCAGCCACTACTGCAAGCCTGGCTATCCGCGTGTCTGTAACGTTATTCCTGGTTTAACTTACGTGTCTCCGTCCTCTGTGATCTGTGTTTTCCATTCGTGCAGCTCTCCGGTTACAGCGGGAGGTTGTTTGTGCTGCGGAGGCTCACAGTCCACCTGGAGCCGACGGATCTCGGCCGCCACAGCCTGGTACTCCTCCTCTTTCAACGAATCCAGACCGCTGTCGAGCCGCTCCTCGGTCGACTGAGACGGCTTCCCTTCTTTAGACTCCCGACTATAATCCATTTGGTTTAATAAACTGGTCCGGTGGAGGGCCATGGTGGTTTGTTGTTCGAGACGAGATGCGTATGGTTGTCTTCTGGCGGAGTCGTGCAGCAGTCTGTAAATGCCCTCTGTAGCGCAGCGGGGCGGAGCTAACAACTAGGTGGGGGATTTCCAGAAAACTGTCACTTAGAATCAGCACACAGATTGCTGGCTCCAAGAGGGGATTTTATTGAGACACATATAAATACACCCCTCAGTTTGTCACCAACAGAGCAAAGTTTCAAAGCTCCGATTCTGCAGGCTACATTTGCTGGACTTTAAAATATACATTTCTGCATTATTTCAGTCTTTACAGAAGCATTTGGAAGTATTTTATGCCACATTTACTCAACAAATATGCATTTTCTCTCACTTGAAATTCACAGTTACTTTGAAAACCATCTAATCAATCAATCTCAGTTATTATGCAAACTATGCTGTGTTTTATCAAAAGTATGCACTTCTAAATCAAGCTGGCCAAAAGTACAAGGAAGAAATCAGCCTTAAAGCCATATCACTGCTTCAGAGAAATGCTAATTCTGCAAGAGGGGGAAACACAAGTCCAGGAAATAAGAATAACTTGACGCACAAGAGCCTCTATTTACTTTTTCCCCCTCGGTAATAACCGGTTGCATGCGTGTGGTCCCATTAAATAGTTTCTGTTTTGACATGAGCAAGGAGAAAGTCCTAAAAGTGCACTCTGTTAGCATGTCCCTGCTAAATCGATAGAACAGAAAGGAAATGTTGTTTACCAGAGCCCCAGCTGAGTAGGTGGGAAGACCTGCAAGAGAGGGGTTGCAGCATGCACAGGAGTTTCCTCCAAAACTTCAATTGTGACTGCAATGTGATTTCTTTTTGTTTATCATACTGTGAACATTATATAACAAACCAACAGGGATGCAGTGGAGTTTCCCTAACACCCGGAGATCTTGACCACACCGTCAAGTTTATGTTTCTTCTTAAAGATATATCATTAGGCTTTTATTTATATCAGAGGAGCTCCATATGTATTGCTATAGTAAATAATATGTGCTTTATGCTTGTGTCTGTTCTAAGAAATCAAAATTCCAGTGCATACATATACTTATCCATTCTGTGCAACAAAACAAACAGAATCACTTTCTTGCACTCATTTACTAACTGTAACTGTACTTTAACATCCTGCCAGCTCTTCCTAAACATAGTGAATGATGCCACTACTGATTTTGTTTTTACTAAGTGTACTATCTGATACAGTGCATCTAATAACCCTGTATCAGATCATTCAATCAGTTCCTTTGCAGATAAAATGGAAGCACTCCAAGTTCTCGATTAAGGCTGTGAGACTTCACGAGGCTATGACCTATCCCTTTAAAAACAAACACCGAGTTGAACGTGATGTTCTGGAGGCCTGAGGGAAACTCCGGGCTTGTTTTACCTCCCATTGTTCAGTCTGTGCAACCAGTTAGACTGGGAAGCTCAGGCGTCGCTCTCAGCCTGTTTTCTACTGTCACGATAACAACTGTTGAGCAACATATAAGGAATGCGGTCAGAGAAATGTACATACACATGGAAATGCACGTTTGAAATAGGAAGCAGCTTCTCCGCAGAATATTGTGCATCGTGAACTACATTTAGGCATTTACCATGTTACACAATGTTGAAATTAGAATAACTGCAATTCTTGGTTTAACATTGCATTCTGCTTCTGTATATCCGTGTCTGAAGCAAGAATGGAAAGATTGTGGAGAGGACAACAAACCATACAAGCCGCGTTAACACCCACTGTTCATTCTAAATACATATAGGCCCTATGTGAAAACAAGACCTCTGTTTCAACCAGCATAAAGCAGATGAATGGAGGAAAGGAATTCACACAGCAGGCTGGATGACCTACAGACGAAGGGGAAAACAAAGCAGTTATACACAGTTGCACAAAGCTTTATATATTTAGACAGAGGGAATTTAATATTTCAAGTATATGGATAGTGGACAATTCAAACAGCATTTGCTGAAGGTCCTGTCGAGGAATCGGACCAATCTAAAGTATGACTTCCAAGTGGACATTAACATGATGCAATAGGAATTTTTCTTTCTGTTTGTAAGCAGTTATGTGTAAATGATGCCGATATGATTGGAGTCAGTAGCACTGAATCATTTTGACCGGAAACCAGTCAGAAGAAACCAGCACACCTCGGCATCATTACGGTAACTGACATGAAAGTCTGAAACACCTTTTGGTTAAAACAGTACAGAAACAAAATTCTTATACACTGAACTAACATATAAACCATTTACTAGCAGCCTTAGACACAAAAAGGAAGTAACTACACTTGCAAAAGTAAGAAATAGTCCTGGATTTTTTTTGTGTGTCTCCCAGCTGGCTCTTCAAAATGTAACCCGAGTCACCAACACTTGCCCAGATTACTGGGTTGGAGTGTGCTCTAACTGTAAAAGATGAGGAACAGAAAGTGAGATGGTGTTATCAAGTCTAATAAAATCTGTCTTTATGATTGTTCTGTCATTGACACTAAGGTAAAATGCCTCTTCTCCAAAACCACAACTAGTTTAATACATTGCCACCATTAACTAGCAGCAGTATATTTCCTAGCAGATTGTTCAACTGACAGTAAAAATAGTCTATTTTTACATCTGAGAATGGAGTATGCTGATTTCATGTGAAGCACAGAAAGTGTAACATGTGTGTGTGCTTTTTGTGATTTTGTATTGTGTGTGAATAATAAATTGTGTGTGTTTTGTTTAGCTTTTACTGGAACATACATAAAATAAACTATGTTGAATGCGTGCCCAATATTTTTATTAACATCATAATCTCTTACCTCAGTGTTTCTCTCGGGAACAGTAAAAGTAATGAGAACACACTGATCACACAAAAGAAAACATGAAAGAGGAAAGTAAAATAATATTGGCGTGATGAATACTGCCAGTTCCTGGCATTCAGTTTTGTACAGGCAATGTTGCTTAGCACTGGTATCTTTAAATAAGAACCCACTTAGCACAACAATTAGTTCACCCAGCTCACTATACTCTGCAGCATGTGTGAGTATACTAGAGGCTGAATCGTTTCACTTGGTATATGACATTTAAAAAACACTGAATGATCCTCACATGAGATATAGTATTTACCAGCTGAAAACAAAATCAGAAATCAAGCTGCTTGGTGTTCTTTTAAAGGTACCAGTTGATTTAATGTTACTAAAAAAACATCCTAAATGGTTAATAAAAGAATAAAAATATATATTTTTTAATGTATGATGAATTTGGCATGTTGGACTTTGAAGTATATTTCCAGCATTTTAAAATGAAAGTCTTTGCTTTATCACTGAGCATGTAGGTGTGTGTGTGAAGCTTCACTGTGTGAGCGGAAGAATTTCTACTGAACATCCTCTACATGAATAGCCACTGTTACATAGAAATTTGCTGTATGTACAGTATCTGTGCACACTGGCACGTGCGCTGGTGGGAATCCCTGAGCATTCTGGACATGAGCAGACATTCACATCACACAATGAGTCATCATGACTGAGCCACGCACACACCATACAGTATGTTTAGGTAAAGGGTCAAACAATGACTCATCTAATTATATTCTAAACATATGACTGTGTTAAGAATGAAATTGTGACTGAGACAGAAATCCCCCCCCCCCCCCATGAACTGTGAACCACTGTGGGTTTTCACTGTGTTCACCTGCTTCTTTACCTGCTTCCCTTTTTCTCAATTTCCTGCTTCCTGTACCGGACAGCAAACTGACTTCTTGTCTGGCAAATTTTCTGTCATATAAACTGGAGGATGTTACAGTCATGTGGTGTAAATGTTTGCTGTTGTTTCCAACCACTCCCTCACTATTGCATTTATTTTTTTTTAAACAGAAGGGATTCAAAAGGGCTCTTAACTAGAGCTACAGATGAAAAATTCTCATTCACTGTGGTCATAAGATAATTTATATGCCAGCCTCTCATGTGTCTTTCAGATCATATAAATTTATAAATATATTTTAAGATAAGTGGTCTGGTTGTTATAATCAGTGGTGGAATGTAACTATGTACATTTACTCAAGCACTGTACTTTTTTTGATACTTTCCTTTTATCCTACTTTAAACATTATACATTTTACTCCACTACATTTAGTGAGTGATAGGTACTTTGCAAATTCAGGTTTTACATAATACATACTATCATCAATTTATAAAATGTGATATACAGGTTAGAATACCCAAAACATCTTAACATCAACATGTTAAATATGCTTCACTACCAACATGAAAATACTGCTTACACATTAGCTGATTAGTAATAGCAAGACAATATTATAATATGTAATAATATATAATAATTTAACACTGAGAAAGGCTTGAATACTTTTACTTTTGATACTTTATGTTCAGTTTGCAGTTAATACTTGTGTACTTTTACATATGTAAAAACAAATTCATTGTTGCATCTCTAAATATACTCAATTAAACAATCAGAATAATTATTCTACCACTACTTATAATCTGGCATAAAGACTTAGACTACATTTAACATTTTTCATGGTGTTTGTTCTACACATAGTGACGTTCAATGTTACAGAAGACGAAGATGCTGGGACAAGTCAAATATTGTGGGAAAAGATATGTATACCTGTTACAAAAAGGAAAATTGATTTTTAAAACTCATTTACTTGCATTTTATCTGGATTCCATTGATAAACTTATTCTAAGAATCAGAATCAGAATGAAATTTACTGCCAGGTAGATTTTCACACACGAAGAATTTGCCTTGGTATACATTGGTGCTTAACAGAACAAAATACTTACATACTAAAATATTTCCCACTTTGTGTAGAAATGTTGTGTGCAAACTGTCTCGACAGTTGCAGCTTCAAATTTGCAACCAGCGCAGCGAAAAGTTTATCAACTTGCTAGAATGAATACAAATAGCAGACCACAAATTCTACTGGACTTCATTACTTTGCAGTAGTGTTGTTAACTCATTTGTTGATGTTCCTGGATTATGCTGAGTCTGCGTTAATGAGCGATGAGTGTTTACGCAGTCAGCAGTGCAGACTTCCCTTTTGTTAAAGCTGATTGTTTTTCC